GGTTCGCCTTTTCGCGGATCCGCATCCGCTGGATGCCCGAGATTTGGGGGGACTAAAAAAAAAAAAAAAAAAGAAACTTTGGGGGGACTAACACCTGTAAGCTCATCTGGACAACGCGGTTGTCCTAGTGCATTAAAAATGTTGTATTAGTAGGAATGCATCGGGACGGTCTTTCAGTGCAGATACATTTTGAATGATGTGTAATGGAGGAGCAACCCCCGACCGCGCCCTTGTGATTGCCGTGCCATCGGGGGCGAGGTCCCACTAGCAGCGGGATAGGATAGAAACGAGTTTGTGAGGCAGTTGAGTGACCCCAATCCTGCCGTGCAGTAGTCGTGATCCCACGGTCAGTGTTTTACTTGTATTACCCGAAAAAATTAGGAGATCTTCGTTCCCCTCCTCCTCTCCTTAACACTGGGCATGCCCGGTTTCTTTTTTTTTTTTTTGCGTTTCTCCTGTTTTCTCAGCCCAGAAATTCGTAATGAACCTGTCGGGCCGCTGCCACTCAGTGTCACACTGGATCGGCCACACTGCTATCCGACTGCTAATGGGACCTCGCCCCGGGGCGAAACGAAACGACGATAGTAAATAAAAGAGATTTAGAAAAATTCAGAAAAAAAGGGGAAAAAAAACGAAAATGAAGAAAAGAAAAACAAGAGCTTTTGGGCCTAGTTGCACCACTCGCCATCCTCCAAAATCCGAATGAATCTGATTGGTATTTTGTCCAGATGCATTCAAAATGTTTGTTACGTATGGCGAGTAGGCCCATGCCGAATCGACAGAGGGAGGGTCCTCCTTTCGCGGCACTTTTTCTTTCATTTTTCCTTTCTTTTCTTCTTTTTTTTTTACTTCTTTTTTTTCACGGGTACTTTTTTCGCTGGTACTTTTTTTTTTTTTTTTTTCGTTTTTTTTTTTTTTGCCGGTACTTTTTTCGATTCAACTGTGGACGTGATTGCGGACTGATACATCCTCATGTGGCCGTAAATACTGTCTTTATACATCTAAAGAAGTACTATCGGTATTGACGAGTAAGGCCTGATGGCAAGCGCCCCGCGCAAGCCTATCGTCCCCAAAGGGAATTTTTCTTTTTCAGAAAAAAAGGAAAAAGAAAGGATCATCTACCGGCGGGCGGTAGCCTCATGGCAGACTGGCCCAAGTTATTCTTTTGGATTTTGCCATCTGTCGTGGGACGAGGTCCCACTACCGGGGCCAAGTCCCACTACCGTCTTCCCCCGAGCACAACGCACCCTTATTTTGGCTGTATCTGGCCGGAAAATATAGCTTGTAGACATTCTTTTTTAAGGTGCGTTGTGTTCGGGGGAAGACGGTAGCAGCGTTGAGTTTCCTCAACGCCTGGAGATGTGCAGAAAATCTGCGTTGAGTTTGCTCAACCTCAGACACGTCCACATTCGGGCGTTGAGGAAGCTCAACACGCTACCGTCTTCCCCCGAACACAACGCACCCTCATCTTGGCTGTACCAGACCGGAAATATAGCTTGCATACGTTCAATTTCAGGGTGCGTTATAGCTGAGAGGAACAGACCTGGGATTAAAAAAACAAAATCAGAGTGCGTTGTGTTCGGGGGAAGACGGTAGTGGGACTTGGCACCGTTGGCAAAGGGGATTACGTGGAGAAAACCGCTATTGATCTGCTTTTCTGCATCTGCTCTTAATAGGCGTCCAGATGCAGGCGCTTAATCCCATCCTCGTTGCTACCGGGTTGCCCCTTGATTCGCGTATCGGATTTGAACTCCTGATCTAGTGACTAGGCAAGAGGTATAAAAATCAAAATTAAAATTAAAAAAGAGGTCGGGACTAGCCACACTAATCACGGAACGAGAAAAGAAGAGTGCATCGACCTGCAGAAAGTGGCACTATACATCCGTTACTATGAATAACCACCTCATGGGACAAGATGCACTTGTCTTTTCAAGTTCGTGTGTCGCGCGGCGAGGTCCTAAATAAGCATCGTACACCTGTGCACCCAACAGCCACGCTGGCTGGGTTTGGCGCCACAGTAGGGCCTTGCTCCACTACCGCATACATTCGACATGTATGTGGACTGTTGTACACCTGTGTACCTATCAGCCACGCTGGCTGGGATTGGCCCCAGAGTAGGGCCTTCGCTCCAACACCATACATTCAACATGCGGACTAGAGACGTTCCGACGACTCAAACATTTTGAATGTGCCAGGGAGCATTACCTGGTCCAGATACAATTAGAAAGGTGTGCAGTGAAGCGAGGCTCTTATATATATATATGACAGACCTTTCTTTGTTTCGTGGATGTTTTGCTGGCTTGTGATGGGTGTGAACCGACAGTCTGTAGAGTTTTCCATCTGGTGTGGGTGAGTGATAGTCTACTTCGATTTTGGTTAAGGTAGATTATCATTTACAGTGTAATCAGTGAGGGGATTCTGCAGACTGTTGAGGGTTCAGCCTCCTGACGAGTCCGTGAAACTCCGACGAAACAGTTTAGTTTCACCGAAACAGTTTGTCACAGCCCCTCGTTTGTTGTCCTCTTCTCTCTCTCTGCCTACGGTTTTACCGGGCAGTTCTGTTTGTGACGATATATATAT